AGAAAAAAATTATTATGTGTTGTTCATTCTACTCTCAGAGACCCTGTATGACAGAGTAGAACTGTCCCATAGGGTTTCAAATGCTGTTTGCTTTATGGAAAGAGATCACAGGTCTAGTTTCCTCCTGTGAAGCTGCTGGATGAGTTTGAACCTCTGACTTTCAGCTAAGCACTTAACCACTGTGCCATCAAGGCTCCTGAAAAAAAAAATACCCCATTGAAAAAGGCAACATCAAATATTCAATCCTCAATAGAATGGATTGAGCATCTTAATCATAAAAATACTTTTTTTGAAAAAAAATTACTGATCATATTTAGAGTACAAGGAAGCTCCCTCCGCTCCTTGGGGAGGGCACAATCCTGCATCTCTGTCAAACTTTTTGTTCTGTGGACAAATCTGAGAGACTAGAGCTTCTTTTAATGCATGCAGTATTATTTGTCCACTTAGGAAATTTCCTTCACTACCATAGCTGAAGCAGGAAAGATCTATTATTTTGGTGTATTTTATCTCTGAACAGCTTTTGTACTTCTGGCAAAAAGAGTCCTTTGATGTTTGAAATGACCCAAAAGCACTTATCTTGTAGTGAGTACTTTATAGGGAAAACCTGAGTTATTCCTCATGGCTCTAGAGACAGGCAGCATTACTGCCCCCACTTTTCTGATGAAGAAACCTCGGTGCAGGTGGTAAAAGTAACTCAGCATATTCGACAGTGAGCAGTGGTAGAGCAGGTGAGCTGGCTCCAGACTCAGCACTCTTGTGTTACACTGCCTCCACCAACTAGCATGCATTCCTCAGCACCAGTGTCTGCACCGAAAGCTTATCTGCAAGCAGTCGCATAAAAATAAAAATTATTCACTCAATGGTAATGGGTTTGGTTTTTGGTATCTCACACCTAAGTGCTTTGACAGGACACTAGCTATACTTACATGGTTTAACTTTTAAAGTTAAATCCAGAGGCATCTATGTGACAATTTACAGGATAATCACAGATATTTAGAGGTTAAATCAGGAAGATATGTCTTCTAGAACTATATGCCCTGCTCACAATATTTGAAATGGGGACAGTCCAAATTGAGTGCTGGTGTAAAATACACACAGGATTTTGAAGACTTAGTATCAAAAAGAGGAGCTCTGGTGGTGCAGTGGTTAAAGCACTTGGCTGCTAATGAGAAGGTTGGAGGTTGGAACCCACCAGCTGCTCTGCAGGAGAAAGATGAGGCAGTCTGTTTCCATAAAGATTTCTAGCCTTGGAAACCCTATGGGGCAGTTCTACTCTGTCCTCTAGGGTAACTGTACATAAGAACAGACTCAACTGCAGTAGATTTGGGGTTTGATTAGTATCCAAAAATAATGTAAAATATTGAGTATATGTTGAAATAGTAATACTGGAGATATATTGGGTTAATTAAAATGTATTATTAAAAAATTTTACCTTCTTAAGAAAAAATTTTTAATGTCACTACTATAAAACTTACCATCACATGTAGCACACATTGTATTTGTACCAACAGTTCTGCTCTAGAATGACTTCAGGTATGAACTCATTCTGCATTCCAGAATATTTACATAATCAACACAAAATCCTGAATCTCTGCTGCTGTTGTTCAGTACTGTTGAGTCAATTCAGACTCACAGTGACCCCTTGTGACAAAGTAGGGCTACCCTATAGGGTAGCTCTGGTAGCATAGTGCCTAAGGCATTTGACTGCTAACCAGAAGGCTGATGGTTCAAAACCACCAGCCACTCCTCGGAAGGAAGGTTGAGCAATCCTACTTCCGTAGTGATACTGCCTCGGAAACCCAAGGAGGGGTCGCTATGAGTCCGGGCTGACTCGACGGCACATAACAACAATCTTGATCAAAACGAATTGTCAGGTGTTTCCTTCCACAGAACAGTGGAGTGGGTTTGAACACCAATCTTACAACATAACCTTCCGTTTAGCAGCCGAGCGCTGAAGTATTGCGCCACCAGGGCTCCTTTGGATCTCTGCAGTCTGTGACTAAGAGTTTTACATCCTTCAGGTCTTTCTGCCCTAACTTCATGCAAGGCTTCTCTATTTCCTGGTCTCTGTAACATCCCTAACATCCATTTTCCTACACTGCCCTGGGCTCCTTTTGAAAACCTTAAGTAGGAATTGGTTTGCTGGTTTTTGTTTTTTAGTTTCTCTCCATCTCCACCTCTAAAAGTCCACTTAAGAGAGAGAAACCACTGTAGCTCATTCCTCTTCACCCCAGTGGTTACTGGACTTACACAAGAATGAAACAAATCTGGGATATTCATTCTTCATTCACAAAATAGTTAAGGTACGGGGGTAGGGTGTGTGGGGGGGTGAGGATCCCCACACAACTCTTAGGACCCTGCTGAAGTCCTCTTATTCTTTTGCCTCTGTCTCGTGATGCCTGTGCCACTGTTCTCAAATCCATCTCTCTCAAGGTAGGCAAGGTATTTGTTCTGTTAAGGACACAGGGAGACTTTTACAAACCTGATGCAGGAAGACGTGTACCTATAGGCAGCGTTAACGCAGGCGAGCCGTTCTCTTGGCCTCTCACTGCACCTTCTGTAAAAGGTGATGGGATTCTCAGTTTACCCGAATCCCTTTATCTAAGGGCTCAATCCATGTTCTTAACACCCAGTCTACCTTGTTGTAATTTGACCCTCCCTTCAAATAGCCTGAAAAACACCATCCAGGGGTGGCCTGGAGTTTTTAAGGATTCGGGCTCTTTTCTAACTGGCCAGTCTCTGTAGGGAGTCAGCTCCCCACGCGTCTGTAGAGCTTCACCGTGTGAGCGCTTTGAAAAGCCTCCAATACTTCTTTGTCCTTTGGGTTCCCCTGTTTCCCTTACTCCTTACTCAGAAGAGGCCAGAGTGTTGTTCGAGGAGGCGATTAAACTAGAACCGGCGAGTTTTACGTAGCAAGGATCTTCCAAGTCATCAACACACAGACTTCCCCTCCCGGGTGTAGCTCCCCTGTTTCAACACCCCGCGCTCCCGTCCTCCCCGATGGGAAGCACCTGCCCGCCTGCCCTCACCTGGGTCGTCCTCGTCGCGGGGCACCTTCTTGAAGCAGTCGTTGAGCGACAGGTTGTGGCGAATGGAGTTCTGCCAGCCGGCCTTACTGCGCTGGTAGAAGGGGAAGCTGTCGGCCACGAACTGGTAGATGTGGCTGAGCGTGAGCTTGCGCTCGGGAGCGCTCTGGATGGCCATGGCGATGAGCGCAGAATACGAGTAGGGCGGCCGCACCATCTTCATGAGGTCCTCGCGGCTGGCCATGGACAGCCAGCCCAGCTCGCCGGTCGCCCCAGGCCCGGCAGGCGAGGCGGGCGCTGGGGGCGCAGGCTGAGCGAAGGGACGTTGCGTGCAGCCGAAGGTGCTGGCGGCAGACGGCGGCTGCAGG